GGGCGCACCCCACAAACCCACAGGGGCACTCACATGAGGACCCCACAGGTGACAAGATGAGAACCCAGCAGCACCCCAGTGTCATTAGGAGCTCCCCAAATTTCTGGAGTGAAGCCCAGGGGATTCCCCTCCAGTCCTACAGCCCCCCTCAACCCCCGAGTTTTGGGGTGCCCACCTGGGCCCAATGAGGAGCCCCACGAAGTTGATCTCGGGGTACTCGTCCTGCGGGATCATCACCTTGTCGCTCACCCGCGTTGCCGGCGGCCTGGGGGGGTAAAAGGCGGGGGAGGGTCAGCCTCTTAGGTGAGACCCAAACCACACAGAATCAGCCCCAAATCGGGGTGGGGGAGCCCCCCTCTCACTTGTAGTCAGCCGGGGGTTTGAAGTCGGGGTTCAGGGCCACCATCTCAGTGATGAGGTTGTGCCGCTCCTCTTCCAGCTTCTTGCGCGTGCGGAACTCACGCGTGTTCAGGCGCTTCCCCTCGCTGTTGTAGATGGGTTCCGGGGAGGGGGACCTGCCCAGGGGGATGAGGGGGTCACCAGGGTGCTCTAACACCCCCCCAGAGGGGGCTGTGCCCACAGATCCCACCCAGAGCCTCCCCAGCCCCCCAGGTGTGGGGGCCCTTCCCTGCCCTCCCTGTTGTCAATGGGTCCTGGGGAGGGGGACCTGGGGGGGCGGAGGGTGTCACCAGGGCCAGCACCCCTCCAGGGTGAGGGGGCTGTATCCCCGACCCCCCCAAACCACCACAACCCCCACAATGCCCCCCTCTGCAACAACCCGGGGTGGGGGCTGCCCCCTCCCACCCCCAGGAGGGGCTTAATTGGGAGGGGAGCATTAAATAGTGCCCACTAAAGGCCAGAAGAATCCCCCCACCAAAATCAGCCGCTCTTGCCCCTCTTTGCCTGTTTCTCTCCCGTTTGGGCCCATTTTGCCTCGCTTGGTTGGGGTTTGGCCCCTTTCTCCCTGGCTGTCCATTTCTCCCTGGTTTTGTCATTTTTGCCCGTTTCTCCCCAGCTTTGCCCATTTCCCCAGTTTCAAGGAGGAAAAGGTCCCTGTCTGGGGGGGCCACGCGGCTTTGGCAGCCCTGCAGGGAAGAGTCAAGGTCGCTTGAGCTGAGCCGTGTCAGGGTGAGAAAATCAGATTATGATTAAAAATCAGAATTATCAGCGAGGAAGGAAAAAAAAGAGTCAGAATCGCTCGGGTTTAGTTAAATCGGCCCTTGGCTCCCCTCCCCCCAAAATAGCGAATTTTGGCAGCGGCTGCAAGAAGGGAAGAGATTAAGGCGGATCCTCCAAAAACAGCCGGCGCGGGCGACAGTCGAACCTGCCCCCGTTTTGGGGGAAAAAGCGACTTTTCGGGGTTGGCAGCAGCCGGGTCCTCGGTGGAACTTCGACGTCACTGTCCCCGCTCGTGATTAATCGTTAATTCATTAATTAATTCCCCCCCACCAGCGCTAACGACGCCGCAGCGCGGAGCGGCCTCGGCCCGGGCGCTGCAGGAGCAAGGCTGGGTTAGCGCGGGGCCTGCGCCCCCAAACCTGGGACACCCCCAAAACCTGGGGGTGCGGGGTGACCTCCAAAACCTGGGGGGCCGGAGGGTGTCCCCCCCATGCCAGGACCCAGGAGGGCCCCCCCGGCCACCACGGGGCGAGGGACCCCCACAGGGGGAGGGACCCCTGTGAGGTGAGGGATCCCTGAGGACACAGGGACCCCCCCAGGATTGGGAACCCCGGTAGGGCGAGGGACCCCCAAAGAACTAGAGACCCCATGGGGTGGAGGGACCCCCATAAGGTGAGGGATCCCTGAGGACACAGAGACCCCCCCAGAGTTGGGGACCCCCTCAGACTAGGGATCCCCTTAGGGCTGAGGGACCCCTGTGTGTTGAAGGGCCCTCCACCCTGGCCTTCCACAGAAAAATGGGGCCAAAACAGGTGGAAAAGGTGAAGGAGGGTGGGGGGGCTGGAATTTGGCCCATCTGGGGGGGTGATGGCAGCTCTGCCCCCACCAAAGCCCAATTGGAGAAAAAGAGGGGAAAGGGGGGGGTAAAAGGGGGTGAAAGGGGGTCGGGGTGGGGGCTGAGGAGCCAGGGCCTTGTTCAGCCACCAGAGCTCATTAATCCGCCACCGTGGGTTGTTAATCCACTGCTAACAAGAGCCAGGTCGGGGTCAGTGGGGCACAGAGAACACCCCAAAGCCGGGGGAAGGGCCCCAGAGTGGGGGGATCCCTGGATCAGCGTGGGGTAGAGAGTAGCACCCCAAATCTGGGGGAAGAGCCCCAAAACAGGGGGGGCAGCGGGGGGAGGTCCCAACCTGCCCTCGGGGTTTGGGGTGCCCGGGTCTCCTGTGCACAGTTTGCAGCTCACGGGGGGCCCGGGGGGTCACTGGGGAGGTGCCCAGGTCTCGGGGGGGGGAAAGAGGGGGGGCGCGGGGGGGTCTCAGGTGTCCCGGGGGTGCCCGGGGGGGCAGGGGGGGGAGGTCCCGACCTGTCCTCGGGGTTAGGGGGGATGCCCAGGTCTCCCGTGCGCAGTTTGCGGGTCAGGTCTTCGATCTGCAGTTGCACTGGAAGGAACCCGGTCCCGGAGAGGTGAGAGAGACACAGTTACAAAACACCCACATTTCTCCCCAAAACAACATTCCTCCCCCACATCCTGCCCCAGCCCAGCTCGGCAGGGCTAAAACTCCACTTTCTACCTACACCGGCTCCGTGGCACCAAAAACAGGCATTACTGCCCTAAAACCAAATGTTATGGTGAGAAAAAACCAGGGGTTATCACCTAAAATTGACATTATTAACAGAAAAATAGGCCTTCTTATGAATAACAGCAAGTTATTACCCAAAAAGCACATTATTCCCCCAAAAAAGCACATAATTACCAAAAAAAAGCAGGTTATTACCAAGAAAAATCATATTACCAAAAAATTCACATTATTACCCAAAAAGAGCACATTATTACCAAGCCTCCTAACGTTATTATGGAAAATTAGAAATTGTTATCATAAAACCAGACACTGTTACCTAAAACAGAAGATTATCAGTCAAAAAAAGACATTATTTCCTAAAATACCACAGTTACCTAAAAAGCGAGATTATTACTAAAAAAGGTAAACGTTATTACCTAAAACCACAGTTTTACCTAAATGAATCACAATTTTACCTAAAACAGGAGATCACTAAAAAATGAGACATTATTACCTAAAAGGACCACATTGCCCAAAAGACAAAACTACTAAAAAAAGCAACTGCTGTTACCTAGAACAGGAAATTACATTAAACAGACATTATCTAAAACACCTCATTGCATGAGAAGTACATGTTACAAAAAGAACAGTCACCTTAAAACAGACATGACATCTAAACAGCACATTACTATCAAAAACTAAACATTGTTAACCAAAATAAAGAGATTATTGCATTAAGATGACACATTGCCTAGAACTCCATGTTGTTATCTAAAACTGCAGGTTTCAGTCCCCACCCCCCAGAGGTCGCTTCTGTTGGTAACTGGGGAGGAATTTGAGGGGGGGCCCAGTGGGTCACACGGTGTCACTGTCCCCCAAGGCCCAATTTGGGCCCAAACTCCCAAATTTTCACCAAGGCTGGTGGCTCTTCGAGACACACAAAAGTGACTTGTGGGGGACACTGGGGGCTGTGCCCTCCCATTGCCCCCAGCCCCAATCAGGGAGTTCTGACCCCAAACCCTTGGGGATTCGGACCCCAAATCCTCAGGGTTCTGATCTCAACTCCACGTGCAGGTATAGGAGTTCTAATCCCAAATCCTGGAATTCTAACCCCGAATGCCGAGGGGGAGGTTGCCCCTAAACCCTGGCAGGTTCCTGCCCCCAAACCGTTACCGAGATGGGGGTGCAGCTTAGGCAGAGGGGTGTGATCCCAAATCTCGGGTTTTGAGTTAAACCCCGGGGGGATTCTGACCCCAAATCCCGGGTGTGTCCTGACCCCCAATTCCGGAGGGGTTTTAACCCCCAAATCCAGGGATTGTGCCCCCAAAAGACCCTGTTTTCCCCCCAAACCGTTACCGATGTAGGCGCGTTCCTGCTCCCGCGTCAGCCCGGGCGGGATCACCGTGGGCATCCCCGGGATCACTGTCTTCTGCTCCAGCGAGTCCTGGTTCCAGCGGCTACGCTTCCGCTTCCGCGGGAAATCTGGGGGGAAACCAAGGGATGGGGACAAATCCGGCACCGGGGACGCGGGTGGCCACGAGAACGAGAGGAGGACAACGGGAGGGGTGGGGGGGTCTCTCTGTCCCTGGGGGCAGGGGTGTTGGAGTGCTGCTCTGTCCCTGGAGGCGATCTGCGGGACCCAAGGGGTGTTTTGGGGGGGTCTCAGAGGTAGCCCCGTCCCCACAACGGGGAGATCGCAGTGGTCCCTCTGGCCCTGAGAAGAGATCTGCGGGACACGGGGGGCGTTCTGGAGGGGACCAAGAGGAACCTCCGTTCCCGGCAGGGTTTTATGGGGGTCGTTCTGTCCCCGTGCGATGTTTTGGACAGGTCGCTCCATCGCGGTGTGTTTGGGCGTCCCGTTCCAAAGGTTGCCCCCTCTCCCTCCTGCCCCCACTGGGCTCCATCTTGGCCGCGCGTGTCACAACACGTGTCGCGGCCGCGGGGGGAGCGATGGGGGGCGGAAGCAACGGGACTCCCCCGAACGGGGGGCGTTACAGCCCGGAGATCCCCCCCAAAACGGAGAGATCAAAGCCCGGGGACTCTGAAACCGGGAGAGTTTACAGACTGGGGGAGTTAAAGCCCGGGGACCCCCAAACCAGGGGGGTTACAGCCCAGGGACCCCCTCAGAGACGGAGTAAAGACCGGGAATCCCCAGAGCAGGGGGATTACAGTCCGGGAACGACCCCGACGCCTACCCCCGAATGCGCTTCTCCCCGGGGGTCGCATGCCCCCCCGATCCTCACCCACACCCGGCCCCCCCTCCCAGGCCGTACCTGCCCTCCGGGGCTTGTGCGCGGCTCCCGCCCGCCCTCCTGCATCTCCCGGCCCGGCTCCCGCGCCCCCCGCACCCTCCTCGGGCCGCGGCGGCTGCGGGGCCCCCGCGGGCTGGGGAGGGGCGGCGGGGGCGGACGGCGGGGCCCCCGCGGGGGCCGCGGGCGGGTCATGGCCCGGCGGCGGCGACGGGAAACGGAACTGGCCGTAGGCGGCGGCGGGCGGCGGCTGCGGGGCCGCGGGCCCGCCCGCGGGCTGCGGGGCCGCGGGGCCCCCAGGGGCCTGGGCAGGCGGCGGCGGTGGCGGCGGCGGCTGCGCCGGCGGCTGAGGCTGCGGGGGCGGCGGCGGCGGTGGTGGCGGAGGCGGCGGCGGCGGCAGCGCCGCGAAGGGGAAGGCGGCGGCGGCCATTGGGGCGCGAGGCGCGGTGGGGCCGGGAGCTGGGCCGGGCTGGGCCGCGCTCGCCCCGGTCGCCATAGAGCGGCCCCCGCGCGGCCTTCGCGAACCTTCCACGCCGCCGCGCCACACGCGCAACGCTGATTGGACGAGCTGCGCGTCGCTTAAGGGCAGCGCGCACGGAGGTTGGCCAATGGCGCTGTCCGTCAGCGCGGCCCGCGCGAGGATTGGCTGGCAGAAGGGAGAAAGGGCGGGGACCGGCTCTCGAGCGGCGGTGGCGGGGAATGGCCAACAGGGACGTCACTCAAAAGGAGCCCGAGGGATGGGGAGGGCGCGGGGCGAGCGCCGATTGGGCGGCGCGGCGGAGAGCAGGGCCAAACTCGAAAACTCCGTCGCCATTGGCTGCTCGCAGCTCCGCCCCGCGCCCCCGGGTGGGGGTCTGGGAGACCCCGTGCCGGGCAGCTGTGACGTGCGGACCTGCCTGCGCCCTCACTGGGCGATAGGCTGGGCGCATCTGATTTGCTGCTCCCCCTGTCGCTCAGGGAAGGCGCATGATGATTGGCGTAGGCAGCGGTGGGAGGCGGGGGTTCCGCCGAGAACTCGCTCTGCCCGCGCGGGTGTCGTGGACGCCGCCCCCAAACCGCGCCGGTCCCGAGCGGGGGCTCTGCCCCCCAAAGAACGACGCGCTCGGTACAAACAGACACAGTTTATTGTTTGGGGGGACACGCCCCCCCCCCCCATAAGAAGTCTCGGACCCCCCTCGGTTCTAACCTCCCACCTCTCCCCAAAATCTGGGACACCTCAAAGGCTGCGGGGGGTCCCAAATGCTTCAAGTTGAGCTCTGACTCCCCAAATGCTCTGCCCGAGCCCCCCCTGCTCGCACCCAAAGCTCCCCAAAGCCCCCCGAGCCCCCCCACACCCCAAACCTCCCCACCTCCAGTCGATCCAAGGGGGGCCCACAACCCCCCAAAACTGCCCTTTTGTTCTCACTGCATCGCAAACTCCCCCGTTGCCATTTCAGGGGGCTCAGACCCCCAGAGGGCTCCTCAGGAGGGGCAAGACCTTTGACTCCCCCAGACCCCAAAACCTTCACCCCGGCCCAGCCGGGGAGTTCCCACTGACCCCAACCCCCCACCAGTCCCCCCCTGCTTCCCCTTCCACCTCCAGCCCATCCCAACCCCAAAGTCCCCGGCTTTGTTTTTCGGGAGGCTCAGGAGAGAAGGCACAGGGTCCCTGCCCCCTTTGGGGTCTTGGCGGGGCTCATGGCCCTTTTAGGAGCTCAAGGAGGGACAGGGGATAGGTTTGGGGGTGCCCCCCCTGCACTTCAGGGGATTCTCAGCCCTTTTTTGGGGTGTCTTGAGGAAGGACAGGGGGGTGCCAGGGGCAGGTTTTGGGGGTTCCCCCTGAGTTTTGGGGCTGCGTTTTTTGGGATTTGGGGGTCCCCTACAAGCCCTTTTGTGGTGTCCTGAGGAAGGGAAGGGGGGAATGGACAGGACTTGGGGTCTCAGGGATGGGCACAGTGGGGTAATTTGGGACTGGGTTTTTGGGTCCCCCTCCCAGATTTTGGGGCCCCCTACAATCCTTGGCAGGGTCTCCTGAGGAAGGGCAGGGGGTGCGTGTCAGGGGCAGGCTTTTGGGTTCCCCCGCTGGGATTTCGGGGTCCCCTAGGAGCCCTTGCGGGGTCTCTTGAGGAAGGGAAGGGGGTAGGCACCGGGAGGGGCACGTGGGCGGCGCGGCTGCACCTGGGACTGCGCCGTGAGCTGCAGTTTGATGGCGCTTGAGTTCACTTTGGCCGCGCGCAGCAGCTCCTTCATCCCGCGCATCTTCTGCGAGCGGAAGCGCAGCACCGGCCCCGGGGGGGGTGCAGGGGGCGGCCCAGGGGGCGCAGGGGCCAGCGGGGCCACAGGGGGGACAGCTGGCGTCTCCTCGGGCCGGGGGGCACGGGGGGGTGGCCGGCGCTCCCCGCCTTTCTTGGGGGTTGGCGGCTCCTCGGGCTTGGACTCGCGGCGGGGGCCACGGCGCCGACAGTCCCGGGGGTCCTCGGGGCCCCCCAGCTCCGCCTCGGGGGGGGCCGGGTCCTCCGACAGCAGCGTCACCTGCTGCCGCACCTGAGACGGCGCAGGGGGTGGATGGGGGTCATTGGGGGACACACACAGAGGGGTCACTGGGGGGACAGATTGAGGCTCAGGGGACCCTGAAGGTCATCGGGGGGGCCCTGGAGACCCCCCAGAGGTAACTGGAGACCCCAAGGAGGACATGGGGAAGCCCAGACCCCAAACCACCCTTGGGACCCCCCCAAAGCCCTCACCTGGCCATCGAAGTGGCTGAGGAACTGAACGAGGAAGGTGGCCCAACCCAATGGGTGGTGCGTTCCTGCCCCCTGGACCTCCCAGTGTCCCCCCAGGACTGCCCAAGTCCCCTGGGACCCCCAAAGCCCTTACCTGGCCATCGAAGCGGCCAAGGGACTGGACAAGGAAGGTGGCCCAGCCCACGTGCAGCACCGGGGTGGGGCTCCCCTCCTCCCACCGGCAGATCCCGTCGTAGAACCGCAGCAGGTGAGCGAAGCACTCGGGGTCCTGCAGCGCCGGGAGCCCCCCGGGGCTCCCCTGCAGAGCCCAGAGTCAGGGGGGACCCCCGAGGAGGGAGGACCCCACAAACAGGGACAGGGGCACCCCTGCCTTGGCACCACAAAGCGTGGCACATCAGGGACACCCCCACAGGGACCCACAAATTCAGCTCCCCCAGATGTGCAGTAACGCCTGGGCCCCCAAGTCCATGTACCCCATGTACCCCCATCCTCCCAAACAAAGCAGGGACACCCACCCTGGGCAGGGCTCCCCCAAGGCCCCCCCGCCTTACCCACGGTCCCCCCAAACCCACCTCAGCCCCTGGGGGGGGCTCGGCCGCCGCCTCCTTGAGCAGGTTGGGGATGACATCATTGGCCACGTCGAAGAATTCCTTGTAGATCTCCTCGTCCTCTCGGCAGTAGTTGTAGCTGGGGGGGCGCAGGGGAGTTTGGGGGGACTGCCCCGTGGTGGGGGGCACACAGGATTTGGGGGGCTGCCCCACAGCCATGGGCAGGGCTGGGGACCCTTAAAAGTGTCACAGAGCCTGCAGAGGCGGGGGGGAACCCAGAGAGCCAGGCCCTGGGCAGGGCCCCCCACCTTCCCTGCCTTCGCCCCTGGAGGTGCCTGTGGGGGGCCCAGGACATCCACAGCCATAGGGAAATATGGACCCCCAAGAGCCCCCCTGCCCTGACCCCACTCCTCCAAGCCTCACAGGAGGAGGGAGGGCCCCTGGCCCAGCCCATGGTGAGAGTTGGACCCTCAGGGGTCCCCCCAAGGACCCCCCAGCCCCCTGCTCACTCCTGGATGACGGTGGCTGTGTCAGCCCAGGCCTGCAGGGCCTCCTTGACGTTCTTGTTGCGGCAGTGGAACCCGGCCAGATACAGGTAGGGGTAGATGTGCTCGTTGTTGTAGTGGGTACGGGCAGACTGGATGCCCTGAGGGTGACAGGGGGGAGGTCAGTGCCCACCTGGGCTCACTCCTGAGCTCCACAGAACCCCCCACCCTGGCTCACCTGGTGGTACAGAGTGAGAGGGTCAGGTCTGCCCGGGGTCGGCTCCAGCTCCTCCAGGTCTGCCAGGTTCCCCAGGGCCATGGGGTACCTGTAGGGAAGGTGGGGGCCAGCCCCACAGCAGGTTGGGGTGGCCCCATGGCAGGTTGGGGGGCAGCCCCAAGGCGGGTCAGGAGTCCCTCTCACCTGTCCAGGTGCCCCATGTCATAAAGCAGCCAGAGCAGGCGCTGCAGAGGAGAGGGAGATGTGAGGGGGGACACCTGCCCCAGAGATGCCTCACACCTGCCCCACACCCGCTGCAGCAGCTCCAGGCTGTCCCTGTGCCCCCACCTGCTGCAGCTGCAGCAGCTCCAGGCTGTCGGTGTGGCCATCAATGGACGGGTTGATGGCACAGACCATAAACGCCACCTCCATGTGTCTTGTGCAGCGCAGGTATGAACCCTTCAGGTACAGCCAGCTCTGGGGGAGATGGGAGGGTACAGTGACACAAGTGACATGAGGGACACAAGGACACATCCACCTCCTCCCCACACACCATCCTCCCCCACCCCTGTGCTGGGGGCACCATCTGTCCCCAGAGCTCTTCAGCATCCCCACCTGCCCTGGAGACTCCCCTGTCCACCCCCTGGGTCTCCTCTGTCCCCGTGGATCACCCCAGTTCCTGTCCTTATACCCCTGTTCCCTGTTCCTCCCTTCCTGTGCCCCATACCCTCTCAGCCCCCCCGATGTGTCCCCTCCCTCCCTATGGCCCCCTGTACCCTCTCAGCCCCCCATGTGTCCCCTCCCTCCCCA